TTATGTAAAGGTACAATTCCCAATGAGAAATGTAATTGTGTTGTACACCTACAATGTACCAATAAAAGAATTTAACAAAAAAAAAAAAAGAAAGATTTCATCTATTCGGGGAGGCTGAGACCTCCTGTGTCTCCAAACCCCATATGACCCTATCTGCCAGGTGGTAAGCCCGGCCTACTGAGCCCTCAGGGGACCAGCAGAGCCTGCACAGGGTGGGATATACCTACACCCAGCTGTGAGTCCCCATGACAAGCGCCTTGGCAATCATCCTCTTCCCCAACGTGAGAAGAGACACTGAAAAAAATTGTGAGACCAAATGTGTCCAGCCAGCAAAGGGCAGAAGTGGCCTCTGAATGCAGCCCTCCCCTACCTGCTGAACTCTTTCCCTTACTCCATGACCACTTGAGCAAAAGGAAGCAGGAGATCTTGGGAAACCAAGCCACAGGCAAATCCATTTCCATGCCAAATCTGTGTGGAAACCCTCGCCTGCAAAGTCAGGATGCATCATGGTCTCTCTTTCCACTTGAGAGAAGAAACAAGGCCCAGAGAAAGTGAGGTGCAGTGGTGGCTTCCCTGCTGTGTGACAAGTGACCACAGATAGCAGCTTTGGTAGCATCAGCATGAGGTCTCTACATGCTAGGTTCTCTACTTGGGACCTCACATGGTTGAAATCAAGGTGACAGCTAGCTGAGTTCTCAAGAGACTGGAGGCAAAATCAGTTCCAGACTCATTCTTGTTATTATCAGAATCCAGCTCCTTCTAGCTATAGGACTGAGGTCCCCTTAGATCGCCATCTGTGGGGTTGCTCTCAGCCCCTGGTGGCTGTCCTTGTTCCCTGACTCACAATTCTCCATCTGCATCTGCGTGTGCATCTCCATCTCCGGGCCAGGAAACTCTTCCTGCCTTCCACTTCTCACTCCCTCTTTAGAAGCACACCCTGTCTCCATGGCCCACAGGTTGCTGCTCTGTCTTGAGACCAGTGGTGCCTTAAAATACAAAGTAAATACAGAGGCTCTGTCTCTTCCTCATGCTGACCTGGGGTGATGACAGTTGTGTGCACCAGGGGCCCAGAAACTCTGACTACCTCAGAATTCTGCACACCTCATGAATATGGCCAAGTCCACAGCCCAGCCTCACTGCACTGTCCAGTGTGAATGTGGGTCAATATTGCCTCTTGTATGGGTCACCACAGCTCCATATGGAAGCAAATGCTTCCAGCAGGGGGCCTCTTGAAAAGAAACCACTATGATCAGATAAAATATTAGTAGAACCACTTTTCAAGACAATCACTGCAATTCATCAAAGGCACTAACACAGAAAGCAGGAAAAACAGATCATACCAACTCTAAAAATAATAGAAGGAGGTCACTTATACGTTGCCACGTCATGCTTCATTTTGGTTTATTTCCAAGGGAATTTGAGGCCTTTGAAATTAACCAACATAGCCCCCCCCCCGTACTTAGCATGTCTTTGAGATTGATTATAGAGAGGCTTGCTTGTCTAGACTTAAAGATTCCAGATTCCAGTTCTGTCTGCTGAGTCCTATAATATTTATTACCTCTTTATTACCTCTTGCCATACAGTGACTGTTATAATTATTGAAAATATTGATTTTTGTATGTCCTCTCATCTCTAGTTCACCTACAAAACCAAAGTTTAAACAATTCATTGGAAAATTCTTTCTCTTACAAATGATCTAAAAATAAATTTGTTTTAAGAAAAGCCAAATGTTTTGAATATATATTGATTAGAAAGACGTAGTAATTAGTTTTTGAATGAGGTTTAGATTAATTAAATATTTTTAACATTTTTAGAATTTAACATTTTTAAACATGGAGTGTTGCTTATTTTTTAAAAAGAAATCCATTTCTTCTTCAGGATAGAAAGTTGATCAAGTTCAAGAAAAGGAAGTGGGAAGGAGGGGAGGGAAAGGGGATAAAAAAAAATTAAGATGTGTTATGTACATGTATGAACTCCACATAAGGACATTATGGACGGCAAACATGTGTAAATAAATAAATTAATTAA